GTTTTCAAAAATTGCTAACTCAAATGCATTTATAATAGCTTTAGGGGGGGGGGGAGGGTGAACACCCTCTACACCCCGTTCGGGACAGCCCTGGTCAGAATAATGCTTATTTTTGCTATATGAAGTCAATGACCCCATATGACGTCACTGGAAAATAAAAGGTTAAAAAACTACGTTGTTTGAAGACGGAAATATATTAAGGTGATTGTTGAAAAGTTGAAAATTAATTTAAAAAGTTTTATGATTTAAACATAAAAAAACTTCCTTCTCTTCCCTATATTACTAGATCTGGAACTATCAAATCAAAAAAATTGTCTTTCCTTTTAGATGGTCTGGATCCACCCCTGAGTTATAAGACATCTGCTTATAGTATTACTATACGAAGAAAACAAATATAGTTTCACATAAATGGAACTTTTGTTTGAAACCGTGCCGATATCTAAGTTATATGAAACAAATTTGTTTTAATCAATATGTGTTTTTATACATATTATATATGAATAAATAATTTCCAAACAAGTTTTAAAAAAAAAACACCTTCCTTATACCTTTATATATATATTTGATTATATATTATATAACTTAATTTGTTCCTATTTAATTGGTGTTAAGTATTGCTGTTTTATTGTTTAAGATTTTAAATGAGTATAATTTTTTTTTTTGTTAAAATGCTTTAGAAATTGAGAACAAATATAGAGTTATTATTAAATTAAGGTTACAAATAAACGAGTGTTTGATGGTTTTGTTAGAGTTTAAAAGAACACTGTGTAGGTCTCAGCGGCTTCGACTTTAGAATTAAAGCCTTTGTTACAAAATATTCACATGACGAATTATTGATGCTCATGTTGAGAATGGACCTCTTGGTTCTGTGGCAGAACTCTAATTACTGCGCCCTGGCACTATACCTGTTGTTATTTTAAAGAAATGGAAAAAAATAATGTATGCATTAAAGCAAATGTATAATTTATAAAATCTATAATTTTTTTTTCGTATTTTCTCATAATGCAGTGTGTATAAAGCACATTAAACACGTTGTATTTCAATAGCTTCACGAATTTTTCTTGTGTTGTTTGAAATAATAGAAAGCATTTTAGGGTTTTCCCGGTTTATTTTACAATTACAATGTTGTGAATGTTCTAATACCTTATGTATGCCAGTTGGCTTTTGTAACATTATTTTTATGTTCTTGAATTCGTATAGAAATCTTTTTTCTTGTTTCACCAACATGTACCATATGCACAGTTCAGTTGGTACACTTTTGGTTGACTATTTGGAGACAGCTTAGACTTTATCAAGGGATTACCAAAACGGAATACTGTTTTAACGCTAACTTTACGAAATTCTGTTCTTAGAACAAGGCTTCATTTTGCGACCCATGGTAAAATAACTAGATTTTTGGAATTAATTTTTTGAGAGTAAGATTAGTTGGATTAGTGGAGTATTTATAACTTTTAGCAATATCTGACAGAGGCAACCACATCGGGGGACCGGAGGGGAACGTGCCCCATTTCCTTTTTTTTTTCTTTTTAAAGGACCTTTTTGTTTGTAGAAAATTTAGAATATAGAGGACTTTTTTTAGAAACTGACTATTGTACCCCCTCCCCACTTCGAAACCCGTGTCATCGGCCATATCTGAATAATGTTTATAGGAATCTCCATTTTCAGTAAAAATCTTAATAGGAAAATTAATTTTATCTTGAATGTTATGTTCTGAACAAATTTTTTTATACTCGAGCTAAAAAACCTTTAAAAATACCATCTGCGATACTCGATGAAATAGATGATTTGGTTTTATAAGTACGTTTGTAATTGCATCTTTACGGTGTATAGAAAACTCATATTTGTGAAGGGAGCAATTAGTTAAAAAACGAAAATCTAAAAAATTTAATTGGTATTGAAAATTTTCGTATTCGCATGTATACTGGATAGGTTTATCTTGTGAATTTAGAAGTGATAAAAAAGAATTTGCGTCTATCATCAACGTAACGTTTATAAGTTTTTGCTGCAATATATTTTGTCATAAAAAATAACACTTACTAATGCAGAGATCAACTAGTGTATGAATGTCTACTCAGACACGCCGGAAAAGGGTAGCCTAGGGTAGCAACTGCTACTCCTGTCCTTTTTTTTTGGGGCGGCAAGGGTAGAATGAATGTTTCTAGGAAATAGGTATGGTAAATTTTTGTGCTTTAAAAGCATTATCCAACATTTCATTATCAATATTTAAATATCAATACCTACCAAATGGAGCAGGTAATAGGTGGGATAGGTGGCAATAGATTAATTTTTCAAAGAGAAAACAATTTAAAATTGAGTTAAACGAAACTTTAAAAAATATTATATTGAAGAGAATGGAAGAACTTGTATTAAAGCTTGGTTAAAAGAGTTTAGTTAATTATTTTATGATTAATCACTGAAAGCTGTCTTTTATGAAAACTGTGCAAAATATGATTTATGTTTTTGTGGAGTGTTCAAGCATGGAGTTGGGAAAGGATTTAGAACATGGAGTAAATCTGCAGCAGCACTAAAAGACTAAAATATTCGTTCATAAGGTTCCAAGATTGAGAAAGAAAATATAAATTTTATAACAATTAATGCTCAAACTGACTAAATGTACATGGAGAAGCAAGCAGTTCGAAAAAAAGGCTTGCTAGCTCATTTCGGAACATTTAAAACATTGCTTCGACAGGGTGTAGTATTCTATTTTCGGTATTCTGCATTCGAAATGCGTTTCAGAGATTTGCAGAACTTAGATCAGATAAGGAATTTAATAAAACTTTAAAGGTGACAAAAAATACCTGGAATCAAGCAAGACCATGAGTCTGAAATTAAAGTTACGCAGAGACAAAAAGTAATATCTAAAACATTACGCAATTCGGTAATTACTGAAAAGCTTAAATTGGGCGGTGCATTGGGTGCATTGGGCGGTGCATTGGTCCTGTTAAATCAGAGCAAAAACCAAAGAAACCAGCAATTTGAAGCAATGACCAACCAAAACCAAAAGAAACCAAAGAAACAATTGATTGAACAAAAGAAGCAATTTGAAGCAATTGATGCTATTCAGAACATTCTGAGTGAGAGATTTGAACAAGGTGAATTAACTTCTGTAAAAAATATAAAAGAAGTTTTGATTTCATCGGTGAATAAACAAGATTCCCCACCGTGGAATGTCATTTTTTAATGATGTTTACATCTTGGAACTAAAAGTTGAGTTGAAGGGGCTACCAACAATCATTAACCTGTATAATGCTATTGCATCAATCAAAATACAGAGTGTTTCTAGAGTGGCAACAATTACAGATATTTTCAATGCCATGCCAGGTGCAAAAGTTGCCAATAAACAAACACACAAATTAATGATGCTTTATTACACTATGCCTATATCGACATCATCATGTAAAAGAAGCTTTAGTGTAATGAGGAGAGTAAAAACATGGGTGTGGTCACAAACTTGAGGCAACCACTTGAACAACATCATGTTTGCTCAGATACACAAAAAATAAATCGACAAAGTTAACATTAAAAAAGTTGCCCAACAGTTCGTTGAAATGAATGACAATAGAATGAATTATTTCGGCAAATACACTTGAAATCGTTCTAGCACCTTGAAAAGCTAAGAATGGCGTAGGATGAAATTTACTATTGACATCTAGAACATAGCTAAGAAACAGTTGATTCATTTAGTAAGCTGTTTAATAACATGTTATAAACTTTAGCGTTAATTGTACTGTACACGCGATTCGTAATTGTAAAAGTAGTAGACAAAGTGACGTTTTTTGTGTATTTTTTGGAGAACGGTAGGATTATTTAAAAGGTTTATTTATATTAGATCTTATATATAGTAAAATATTGTGCTTGTGTTTTGGTTTGCCACCCTTGCCCTTAGGGCCCTTCCGGCGAGCCTATGTCTACTAAAGATAATATAGCTCGTTCTATTAGATCATTACTATCTTTATTTAGAATATCAATAATTGTTTTTTTCACAGAACAAAGACAGTTTATTAAAATATATAATATATATATATATATATATATATATATATATATATATATATATATATATATATATATATATATATATATATATATATATATATATACGTATATATATATATATATATATATATATATATACGTATATATATATATATATATATATATATATATATATATATATATATATATATATATATAAAATATATGTTAGTTAGTTAGTAGTTAAACTGTAACTGGACGAAACCAGCGCGTGTGGTTTATCACACTTTGACAGCATTAATCCAAATATATATTAAAAAATGTTTAGTTAAAATTTCTGTGATTTGGCATTATACTTATCTAATCTATTCTTAAATTGATTGACAGTTTTTGAAGTAACAACAGTTTCCGGTAAAACGTTCCATAAATTGTCTGTACGATTTAATAAAAAATGATGCCGAGGTAAATAGTTCACAATTTCTCTTTCATATTTAAGATTGTGACCTCGAGTAATTGAATCAATTTTAAGCTTCGGTTCATTATTTAAAACAATTTCCTCGAATCTGTTTAGTAATTTAAACACTTGTATTAAATCCCCACGTTCCCTCCTTGTTTTCAATGTAGATATATCTAAAATTTCCAATCTCTTTTCATAATTAATTTTCCTTAATGATGGAACTAATCTAATCATCCTGTGTTGAACTTTTTCCAAAAGTGATGTCTCCTTTTAAATAAGGTGACCAAACAGGTACTGCAAACTCAATAAGAGGTCTAAAAAATACCTTATACAATGTTTTAACCAATTTCGCATCAATTTGTGAAAATGTTATCTTTAATTTTTTATTTGTTATTTAGGTGTTCCAAGAAGTTCTAACGGTCTTGTCATAGAGCACCGCGGAAGTGATTTAACCAGGAAGTTCACGCCTCCTTTCTTACCGTGACGCGAAATATGTCCAAAGCTCGTTTCGAACCGGGATCTCCTGCTAATAAAGTAAGCGCTCTAACCACAATCCATTCTAATCCATTTAAGCTTTAACCCATTTTAATAATAAACCACTAATTCCATATGAAGATAATTTAATCAATAGTCTTTTGTGAGCAACAGAATCAAAAGCTTTAACAAAATCTAAAAGTGCTTCATCTACCGAAATACCAATCGGTAAATTAAATAAAATATAATCCAACGCCTCTAATAAGTTTGTTGTACAAGACTTTCCTTTAGCAAAACCATGACTTTGATATAAATTTATATTTCATTAAATATGATTGTATGTAGTCTCTGACAATACCTTCCATAATTTTACAAGTAATTGACGTCAATGACACTGGTCTATAATTTGCAGCTTCTAATTTATCTCCCTTTTTGAATAGTGGTGTAATATTTGATGCTATCCATTGAGTTGGTAGCTCACTTTTAACAAAAGATTCTTTAAAAATTAAAGTTAACGGCAATGTTACGGAATCCGCACAATTTTTCAAAATTAACGGATGAATAGAATCAACTCCATATGTTTTATTGATATCAACATGTTTCAATCTACTTAAAACATCAAAATAATCTATACTAACTGCATCAATAATAATATCCCCTAAATTTTTGATTTGTGGAAGCTCTTCTGTAGAATTTTCGATGGTAAAAACATCTTGAAATTGTGTATTTAAAATTTCAACAATTTCATTTTGATCATTTGTTACGCAACCAGTTTGATCTTTTAATGCTTTAAATACTTGTTTAATCGTTTTTTGACTATTCACATATTTATATAGCAGTTTCGGATTTATCTTTGATTTTTTAACAAGATCATTTTCATAGTAACATCTTGCTTTACGCAATTCTATTTTCACAGTTTCGCAAATATTTTTATATTTCATTACTTTATTCAAATCTTTTCAGTTCGATGATAAATTTTGATAACGCAAATTTTGTTTTGAATGTACTAGAAGACTTACTTCATCAGTAAACCAAGGATTATTTTTTCTTTTCTTTCTTGAATTTACGTCAATTATTAGAATAAAAGCTTAATGCTTTTATTCCAATAATTCATGTAATTACATGATTGACTAATTTTTTCAATAAACAGATCTACATAAATTGAACTGATAACCCATCCAATAAATAATTCCAGTCAATTTTATTAATACTTGAGTTTATTTGTGGATAGTCACATTTACTATAATCAAATTTATACTTTGAATAATTTTCCATTGCAATAGCATCAAGGTTAAATTTACAAGTTAACACCAAATGTCCATGATTTAGATTTTAACTGAATTAGACTCAAGTTAATAAACTCGTTCATTGTTTTTTATAAAAATAAGATCCAAGGTATTTTTTGTAATATATTGTGCATTTTGAAAGGTTGGGATTGAAGAGTGTTTTGGTACAAAAAATATTCATATATAATATTAATAAATTTATTTTCAACAGAATTTTCACCTACTAAAATATCACTAACGTATGCATTGGACCATTTTACAATTGAAAAATTAAAATCACCAATAATTAACAAATCAGCAAAATTGTTTTTTTCTACTAATTCACAAGCTTCTGTGAATATTTGACTCATTTCAAGCATATCTACTTGTTTGTTTGGTTTGTACATGCAACCAATTTAATATTTTTTTTTATCATTTGCAACTATAATGATCTATATTTGTTCAATTTTACTTCTATTTAATATACCTTTGTTTACCTCATAAGATATTAACTATTAAACTAAAGAAAATAAACATAAGATAAAAAATTATTAAACTAAAAAACGTATCTACCAAGAAAGATATAATTAAGTAAAAATATTTATTTTTATAATTGTAAAAGAGATATAGAAATTTAATAACAAAAATGACTGATAAAATAATTAAAACTAAAACTTCGGAGATTTTTGATAAGAAAATTACACTAATTTTGAATAAAAATAATGACCCTGATATAAATCTTTTTGAGGATATTAATATTGAGTCTTGTCAATGTAATGTTTAGGAAGTATCTTGTTATATATGTTATATAGGCTCAACACAACCATCATTTATGTCATTAACTTTAAACATTAGAAGTCTGGAAAAAAATTTTGAAAATTTTAAATCTATGTTAGATAACATAAACTATGAATTTAAAATAACATGCCTTATAGAAACTTGGTGTTAAGATGAAGATTCCAGTATTTAGAAACTGTAAAAAATAATCAACAATACTTAATGGGGGACTTCAATATAAACATTTTAGACATAAAAACTGATAATAAAGTTAAACGCTTCATAAATATTCTTTATCAACATATTACCAGTTGGTTTGTTAATTAATGGTATATTACCATTAATTAACAAACCAACTCGCGTTACTCGTCAAACTGAAACACTCATAGACAATATCTTTACTAATAATTTTTCAAAGTAAAACACCCAAAGTGGGATCATAATAATTTTTCAAAGTAAAATACCCAAAGTGGGATCATAAATAAGTGATCATTTTCCAATCTTTTTTATTTCTAATTCAATATGCAAAGAAAAATCTAACAGGATACCAAACAAAATAATATATGTTAAAAAAAGGGAAATAAATAAAAATAGTATCAAAATTTTTCGCGGTTACTTATTGATAATAAACTGGGAACAACTTATTAACTACAATGACGCAAGTAGAACTTCATAAGACTACAAGTACATTTTATCTGTAAGTTCAGTAATGCTAAAGAAAAAACATTTCCAAAGCAAGAGAAAATAGCCAAGCTCAAAAACTTACAAACTCCATGGATTTCACAAGACCTTATCAAATCTTCCAAGAAAAAACAAGAACTCTACGAAAAATATTTAAAAAAAAAAACTTATAAAAACGAAAAAAATATGAAAGTTATAAAAACCTATTTGAAAAACTTAAGAAACAACCTAAAAAAAAATTATTATTCAAATCTTTTACAAAATAATATTAGTAATAATAAAAAAAATTGGGGTGTTATAAAAGCAGTAATAGGAAAGTAAAAGATTGATATCCTGCCAAACCATTTAAATACAACAAAAACATTGTTATTAATGATCAAAAAAAGATTACTGAAAGCTTTAACAATTCTTTTACAAACACACTGGCTAATAAAATAACTCAAAGTAAAAAATACTTAAATCATATTTAAAAGAAGTAGGCTTTGTAATGGACGAGTTTGACATATCTTTTGATGAGCTTCGAAACGCATTTAAAACAATACAATCAAAAAAGAGTCCGGGCCTTGACGACATAAGCTCTTAGGTGGTTAATGAAATTTATGATGTTATTGAATATCCCCTATTGTACATCTTTAATCATTAAAAAGCGGAGTTTTTCCTAAACACTTAAAATTAGCACGCGTAGTTCCGATTTATAAAAGCGGAGAAAATTCTACTTTATCAAACTATAGGCCTATCTTTCATGTTTTTCGAAAGAACTAGAATGCTAGACTTTTTTCATACCTCCATACTTTTCATACCAAAAGTACTAGAGTACTAGACTTTTTTCATACCTCCAAAATCACAGTATCCTTCTTAATGACCAATACGGATTTAAAAAAGACCATTCAACTGAACTTGCAGTAATAAAGTTAGTTAATGAAACTTTTAATGGGTTTGATAAATATACACTTGGATTACTTACCGATTTTTCAAAGGCGTTCGATATAGTGGATCATGAAATCCTTCTATATAAACTTAATAACTATGGTATAAAAAATAAAACTCTAAAATGCTTTAGTTGCTATCTAAACAATTGGAAACAAACTTTATATTACAATAAAACTTACACTTCCCTTGAAACCATTACTTGTGGCGTTCCCTAGGGATCTATTCTACGACCTTTGCTTTTTCTTGTCTATAATATCGACATATTTTATCTTCTCGTATACTTAATTTTATTATTTTTGCTGATGATACCCAATCTTTCTACACCCACTCAAATATTAAAACTTTTTTTAACACAGTAAATTAGGAGCTTGAAGAGCTAAGCGATTGGTTGAAGGCCGAAAAACTTTCCTTGAACATTGAAAAAATTAAATACATTCTTTTCACAAAACCATCAAAGTCAGACACGTTTCAAATAAAACTTCCAGATATTTTAGTTGACAAAACAAAATTAAAAAGGATATTTTCTGTGAAGTTTCTAGAAGTCATTCTAGATGAACAAGAGCATATCAAGTTTTTAGAAAATAAAACATCTAAAAGCATTGGGATTATGCATAAAACTAAGTATATTTTAAAAAATGTCTAAAAAGTTTATACTTTGCATTTGTTCATAGCTACATTAGCTACTGCAATGTTGCCTGACAAGTACTTACCAATCAAAACTAGCCTTAGTCTATAAAAAACAAGCATGCCACATCCCAGTGGGCACGGACGTAAAAAAGACGTCTTTAAAACGTCTTATGAACGTTTTGGACGTCTTTTGAACGTCTTTTGAACGTTTTGGACGTCTTTTGAACGTTCAAAAGACGTCTTTTTTAGGTCCCGTGCCCAGTGGGATATTCACAAATGGATATGCTAGTGCTAAACATATAATAAAAGAACTGAGAATTCTTAATATTTATGAGCAAGACATCTATAGCATCCTTCAGTTTATGTTTAAATTAAAAAATAATTTGGTTCCAAAAATATTCCATAATTACTTCCAACTTATTGATCATAAAAACGAAACAAACATTCTAAGCAGAGCTACTATATTCCAAAAATGTCTTTGAGACGATTCAAATTCTCAATATCTAGAAGAGGACCACAATTGTGCAACTCATTTCTCAGAAACGAGATAAAAACGATAAATTCTTTTTAACGTTTTATATGCATTGTTAAAAAACAGTTACTTGACCTCAACATTACAGAAACAATCTCTTATTTTTAAACTTTTACACGTCTTAATTTTTTTTTTTTTCATTTACACTATAGCTGAAATGCTTATGGTTATATTAATAAAATGCATTTAATTGTATTTATATTTATAAAGATTTACTTGGCTATTTTAATCTTTTTTTTTTTTTTTTTTTAAAGTTTACAACCCCCTCAAATTTTTTTTTTTTTTTTTTTTTACAACTTCAATATACACTTCATTACGTTACAATTCTATCATATAATTTAATGCAAAGAGTAAAATATATAACATAACATAAGAATACGTAATTTAACAATTATAATAAAATATAACGTTAGATTAATAAACACTGTTTTTTTTTTAAATAAAAACTATTGTTTCTTCAAATATAAACATGTTGTTGTAAAGGAGACTCGCAGAAGACTATGAAGTCTTATCATCAAGTACCTTTTCAAATGGTTAAATAAATTTAATTAATTTTTATATATAGTTAAAAGTGGTTAAACAATACACAGTCAGTGATACACATAAACATTTAAGTATAAATCTTGTTGTTAAGTTTAATACATGTCAATAAAATTTTTGATATTAAGTATGAGGTGTTTTAATTTTTTTTTCAAGAATCATAAGAGTTTTTGTATTTATATATATTTTAATTATCTTATATTTTGTGTTTATCTTATATTTTATTGATATTTATTGTAAAATATAATTGAAATTAACGGGGCAAGATGAAAAGACCATCGTCTTCTGCTTGCTCCAGTCAGTTTGTTACATTAACAATTTTGTAAAAAAAAAAAATTATATTGATGAAAAAGATTATTAATAATTAATTAATAATTATTGGGTTTAAACCAAAGATTTTGACAATTATTAAAACGAGCTACATGTTGGCAAATAAAAAGTTTCAAGTTTCCTTTTATTGGTATTAGCCGATGCAATATTTATTGGTATACATTCGTATTTTATTGGTATTAGCCAATGCAATTTTTGCTTAGTTAACATGGCTATGAATAAAAGAAAAACATAATTAAGTAGAAAAAAAACTTCTAAC